AGCCGCCGGCTGAGAAAGTGGCCATCGTCCTGGCTGAGATTACTACTGCTGGAGGAGGTAACATTGAGGTACGCCTGTCGCGCGTCAGTCTCCTGGACTTTGAGCAGCGACTGGGCGGTGGCATACACAAAGATCACGAATAGTGCGCAGGTGAATATCGACTTGAGAAGCAACTGCATGGCTGGTTACTGACTGGGATGGCTTCTCCTTATCCTGGAAGTGATTGGGGCACTCGCTGTCCCGTTGGCCTGTCTCTGGAAGCTTTGTTGCGTTCGATTTGGCTGTGATTTGTGCTGTTGCAGTTGCTAGTTGCTGCTGCTTGTTACTGTTGCTGCTACAGTTGCAATTAGTGTTGCTGATGGGAGTGTTGCTAGTTGCAAGTTGCCAATGTCGTTGTGGCCCGGTGCTAATGATGGTAACTATGACGTGGGACCGCGAGAAGGCATTCTCGCAATGGCACGTTCAACACTCTGACGCAGTTGGGCCGCTGCACCTGAGGGAAAAAAGCGGACGGGAAGGCATATATTAGTTAGTTGGTAGTTGACTGGCGGCCACTAACAGTGCGGTTCCTATTCTTGGGCATTTATTTCGGGTGCCTTGCATCACGAGTACGAATGTGTCGCCGAGCGGAGCGCAATGCCACTGCGAAGGTTGCGAAAGCCCGCAAATAGTCGCTAGAAAAGAAGAGCCCGCCCAGATCGCCTAGCGGGATGCCCCATTGGGGTGGTGCAATACATTGGGAAATCTATAAAATACCCCTTAGAAAAGCTCTACAAATGAATAGTCCCTTGGAAGCACTTTTACTAGTATACAAGCAAAATCTAAAGGGGATATTAAACATATAGAATATACTAGGAAATAAAATCTTGTAAAATATTGTAAATAAATGGTAAATATAAATTAATGACGCACGAAGTCCAATTTACCATCAACAAATAATAGTTCTAAAAGTTCAAGTTAAAGGCAACAGTACAACATGACTAATTTGTACTGGGAACGAATTAAAAGTAAAGTAAAATAAATGTAGAGCGCTGCAAACATATTTGATACCACCCCCTCCAACAGTAATGTGTACAAATTTACAAAAATTCTAGTACTCACGAAACAATCTCCCAAAGTGATGGCAACTAAAATTAATTACAGTCCGTATTTTCGCTGGAGGCGGGTGCAGCTTTTCTTTGAGCCTTGCCAGACATTCTCTATTCAGCTGTTTTGTGTATTTACACGAAAACGAAATTAAATGCGTAAATAGACAGCATAAAACATAAACAAAAGTGCAGCTATAAAATCTGGCAGAGCAGACGCAAGACTACACAAAAACAAGTTCATTTTCCAAGGAAATGAAAAACAGACCGAGATGAAATTCAGCTGCAGAAAGCTTGTTGCAGATTGAATTGTAAGCCGAGCGAGAGCGGAAAAGGCCGAGAAACGGAACTGACCAAGATCGATATTCTATATGCACATATGTTTGCACGTATTTCGCCAATGTCAATACCGGGAACCAGAAACAGAACCAAGCGCATTAACGTTTGGATGGCAATAAAAAGCAAACAAGTGACTAACTGACAAGACAGTTCGAAGAAAAAGGCAGAAAACTGAGCGGGGGAAAACGAATACGAATGAAGTGCACTCTGGCAGATAAAAACTGTTGACAGTTGGCCGAAAGGGGGAAACAAAGTTTTATAACTTCGAATAACACGCAGTCAAACATATGCATGATTGCAGCTCGGAATACCAACGTCGTTTTTAATATTGATTATGGATTTAACTATCTAATAATTATGAATGTTAAAAACTGACTTTATGATATGTGATATGTGTGATATTTAAAGGAATCAGAGGGTTCCTTTTCATTTCATTTAAATGGAGTTTATTGTATATTAAAACTTTGAAGCTTTTATGTACGTTTGTATGGCCTACCAACAGAAAACATGAGTTCAGGAAGAAAGCTCATCCGTTTACATGGGATACTTCTCGCTTCACAATCCTTTCATCTAAGGTTCGCCGGCTAGAACTTGCAGTCAAAGTTCTGGTGTATTTATAGCTCGAGTGTGTCTTTTTTAATATGCACATTTGGATCACACACCCATTCGGATGGCACAACACTTTGTCGCTGGCTTCGAAATCCAATAAATCAATATGCCCACCGTTTCTGGTGCAGGGGCTAAGATAATCATCAGCGCTTGCATTAATTTAGCAATTACAACAAGAGCCGACAGCAGTCGATATAGATAGACAAAGAGCGGAGCAGACAGATGGCGTGCGAGGGAGATGGAGAGCCACTGGGAATATGGAGAAAGCGGAGAAAGTAAATGAGGATGAGACAAACAGACGCCCAAGGGAGCTCGGAACATATGCTGGGCAGGCGCTCCACATGCACCGCTCCCCTCTGCTCATCGCGTTTTATTCCGGCGGTAAATTGCATTTGGCCATTATTGGAAAACTGTTGCACGTCGGGTGAAGAGATTGCAAATTAATTAAGAAACTTTGCTCCCGGGCCAAAAGCGCTTGCTTACATATCCGAGCTTACCAAACGGATCGAACCGTGATCTTTCGCGCAGCCTCTATGCTCGTTAAAGGCCAAAACACTAAAATTAACGTGGATTTTTAAATTTAGCACAAACAAAAAATAATATAATCGTCTGGCGATCGACCGCGCCGCGTTTCGCCAAGGACTGCGACTGAGAATGCGACTGAGCGAATATGAAAGAGTATGTACGTGGGAATGCGAATAGAAATACACATTGAAAAACCCCGTTACATAGCTAGGGGAAGTGTGAGGTATTTAAGATCTTCTAGTTCCCGAGCTCCCGACGTTCAGACGGAGGGGCAGAGGTATGTACATACATGCATGTACATACATATGTCTAACTCGACTATACTAGTGATCCTTAAAGGAGAAACACCTTTATCGAGGCTAACTATTTGCTTTTAATTTTCAAGCATTTTTCGAAAATATATATTGTTTTAAAGAACGCTTACATGGGGTAGCAAAATTTGACGATACGATTGGTCCGATTTTTTCTCAGTGTGGAAATGAGAATGGGTGAAATGAGCGGGCCAAACGGAGGGGCATTTTGTTTACGCTGCGTTGGCGCTGTTACGTTGTATACATATTTACACCCAAACATACACATACATACGTTTCTCGACGGATTCGAGTCGATCTAATTTTTCGGGTTGCTTCCAAGTTCAAGGAACATTCCCGCTTGATATCGTCTAGTAAATCAAACACAAAGTCTAATTGGCTGTTAAGTAATTCCCGGTACAGATGTTTCATATAGAGACCGCCAAGTTCAGTCGCTCGTCAGCTGGCACAGATTTCGGATTCCATTTTTTCGCGACTCGCAATCGCATTTGGCAGCCCAGGCACGACTAAATCCACCGCCAGAATCCCCATATTACCACCTGTCTGTCTGCCTCTCTGTTCTCCCTTTATCTGTCGGTTTTTCTCTGTCATGTTCATGTCTCTGTGTCCCCCAGTTCATAATTATTTGGTGGGCACGGATTTGCTTTTGTTCTCTGCTCGGCTTTTTTCGCTTTCCCCATCCACCTACATGCGTTGGGAAATCGGGCGAACTCAGACGCGGAAAATATCGCAAAAAACAGAAACGGGGGTCGGGGCGGGTCGGAAAAGCTATCGCCACAGCTGTAGCGTTGAAATGTGATTGATAATAACTAAAGAGGAAATACGATATTTTCAAATAGCATGAAAGCGTAGTTTTAATTATTGTGGAAATATATTTCCGTAGCTTTACTGCTCGATGCCAACCCTTTCCTAATGTACTATTTCCCCTCTGGAATTGTCCCACATTTCGTAATTACTCGCACAGATAAGAAAGTCGATCTTATCTAATGCCTCAAATAGAGAAGTACATAAATTCTAGCAATAAATCTCATTTAATGTGGGACTATAGTTAATCCAAATTTAAACAGCCTTCAATAAACGAATTTCTGTTGAGAATTTAAATGCTCATATAACCTTATGCGTGTGATGATTCCCCCTTTTATTATTAACAACTCGCTTGCGTTTTAAGCTCTCTATCATTTGTTTTTCCTCCCCGTTCACTCGCTACCCTATAATTTTGTATTGCTATTTGTTCATTGGCTTGTTGTTATTGTCTGTGGTATTCAGCTAACTTTTACAAAATGCAGGCAATCATTTGGTAGCCATGCAAATGTTGTGCTAATTTTGTTGGCCGTGTGGCTCTTCATTTCAAAAGCACTTTCCTCGTGAACAAAAGACGATGCGATGGTGCAGAGACCCAATCGCAATATGCCGGGCAGATATGTGAGGATTACAGCAAATCATGAGGATATACTATATATATGCTAGGTGGCCACACATAATTTATTCGCATATTTTCCGTCTCCCATCTAAGCGTCTTTCCATGGGATTTCATTCATATTCCGACACAGCGTCATGAAGGCACGTACATGATCAAAATACTAGCACCCCAGGTGAAGTTTTTCTGTACGAACTTAAATAATTAGTATTTTTAATTGTGCTATGAGCTTTGATTTATTTTCACAACACAATCTTATCTAAAACCCAATGTTTATGCCTTTCGTTACTAGTTTAAACAAGTTGCTTCTTAAATTCTTAGTTCTATGTTTTTGTACTGGTAAAGTGTCATTCAACTTAGATTATTAAAGTAACGAGAAGTTGGTTTAGCGATTAAGTTGGCAGTTTGGAGGTCTGTTCCCCCAATATTGACAAAAAAGAAAAAGTCGTCATTCGTCACTTGAACCTCGCAACATATTCACGTACATAATCAGTGCTCCGAAAATTTATAAGTCTTATTTAAATCGATTGTAATTTATCGTATTTATTTGCTGTACTACTTCAAGCAAAGACATTTGTGGTTAGTGATTTTTGTTTAAATAAAAATGTTGTTGTACTAAATATAATTAAAGTTTTGGAGTGTCGCGTACAGTTATCTCTTCCACTTATTGTGCACCCAACCCGACTGCTGATATTAGTCATTTGTTTGCTTGCTCTGTACACTCGCCTACATAACTTTGGAAATGTTGATCTGCTGTATTGAAGGCTGCGAATTCAACAATTTGATTTCCAATGATGAGCATATTAGGTGCTGGTTGTGTGATGAATATGCTCACGCAAAGTGCGCGGGCATAACTAATAATGTAGTGGAAATTATTGAAGGAAGAAGTGGACTCAAATGGACCTGTGAAAACTGCAGAGTGATCAAATCTCAGATGGGAAGATTTATGAAACAAACGCGTACGGAAATTACCGAACTCTTTAAAGAAATTCGAGCTGTCCATGACAAGTTGGCGAAGCTGGAATCGCATCTTACATCTCGTAAGACTCTAAACTTAACTAACCCATTATTAAATTAACTAATTTATCTTTATTTTATTATTTAATAGTCGACCCCCAAGTGCCAGCTTTCCCTGTGGACGCTGATTTTAGATCTAACACCTGTAAAAACACACCACCTACTTTTGGGGATACTAATGATGACAAAGAAGTTGAAGAAACCGAGTCATCGAATGTTAAACACAATGCTACGGGTATGCACCTAGTGAAAATATGGCATCATAATGCGGCTCCTGTGGTACTACCTCTACATCCCAATCCGGATACTCTCATAGCTGTTCCTCCAATGAAAGCTGTGTTCGTATCTAGGCTTATAACTTCAACTACTGAAGACGCTCTTAAGCACTACATAGTTGCCAAACTCTCTCATCCCAATCCCGATGACATCATAGTGAGAAAAATATATAATAAACAAAGACGAAAAATTGCATCGTTTAAAGTGATGGCACCCGATTTTATATATTACATGATTTTAAATCCGGGATTTTGGCCTGAACATATCATTGTGCACGAGTTTATCAAAAAAAGCCATCTCCAAACCAATGACCAACCAATCTTCACAAAATATTGTTAACATTTATATATAATGTTTTCAATAGAAATTTGAATTAAATATTAAGGAACTATCTCTATTTACAAGAATAATAATTGAATGTCATTACTTCTAATTTTTTTTTAAGTTAGGAACCAAGTTTAGTTATGATGTTCTACCAATGTTTGTGCAGCTTATCACATTTAATGGTTATGCCTATATTTGGGGCATCAATTGCCCCACAAGTAGAGAAACACAATTTGATATCACTTCAGAATAAGAATTCGCTACACAGAAGTTTCACTTTGATGGATTCACAATAAAATGATTATAAGCGAAATGTTGGAAATTTGGAATGCTACTCTTTCGACCGCAACTGTAAATAGTCTTAGACATCTCATTCTCGACTCAAATAATAAAAGTGAAATGCTGTGGGATTTGTCGCCAGGGATACTCACTCCGGAATGGGATTGACTCTATACTCTGTGCTGGCGGGGATGAGGTTGAAGTGGGGGAATCTGGAAGTGGGACTTGACAGGAAACTGAACGCTGCACTCTCAAGAGTGGATGGTGTACTGGATAGCCCTGCCGTTTGTCTCAGGCGTGACAATGCATAGTTTCTCCCGCCCGTCGGGTGGGTTCGCTTCCTGGCAAGCAACTGAGCCGCCGTACTGCCGCTCAGCCAGGTGCGCAGTACTAGTGAGATAACGGGATGCGTGGGTTGATGGGCGTCTAGTTATGGGCGTGGCACGCACTTACCTGGGGATACGGTTTTGGTACTTTCGGTGTTTGACTCTTGGGTAAATCGTTAGCTCTGTTTCGAATTTGATTTTCGTGAAGTATAAATCAGAGCATTCGCGTGTCGTCTAATCAAATCGCCACTTCGGCAGCCGCCGCTATCAACTGGCCCCGTTTCTATCCCCTGGAGATCGTGTAGATGTATGGGTGCATATATATGACGCACGGAGCGGCCTCAGATACTGAGACTCGATAGGGAGATATACCATCGAGGGTTCCTAACCACTGGCGATAAGTCAGTATTACGTTTGTGCGACCATTCCTGATAGCCACTCTAGATCTTGATATTCTCGCTTTCTGATTCGCGGTGTTATACGATCCGGTCATATTGAGTGCCTGATAGCTACTATTACGTCATTGTCTTAATGATAAAAAGATAAAATATTCTTATGGCTTAGATTAGGTTTGCGAGCCAGCAGAAAGTAACTAAATTAAATTTTTAGCAAAATCCAAAAGTAACCAGAACATATAAACGGAAATGTCACTGGGGAGAAAACCTGACACTTTCACCGAGAATTAAAGTCTTTTCGTGAAATCTCAAATCAGGGGAAATCTGCCAGTAAACGTTTTTACACACTTTACCTAAGCCAGAAATCGCTTTCCACAAGAAACCCCCCTGAGTACCGGTGATTTCATTGCCTGGCAGATAAGATTTGCCATAGTTTGTGATATCCTTTGTGGGGGCTTTGTTTCAGGCACTAGATTTGTCAGGCTTCCGTGACAAAGGTATTTAGATTCGTTATGCTAACAAGAGAATGTCTGATAGGTTTCGGTGTTCAGTGCTCACTGTTCACTGTTAGATGTTCGAGTCGTGGAACGTAAAATGACATGTTTAATACGGGACCGAGTGGGAACAGTTGGCGATGTCAGCATATTTTAGCCCGTAAACCCCCCGGTTATTGGCGACATTTTGATATGGTCCTTGTTGCTGTAGCTGCGACGTTATAACAACAAGTTTGATGACGGTCGTTATGCGAATCGTCGATTTGAAATGCCTTCTTGTCACAGAACTTGTGTGTGGAGTGTGGTATGGTGTGTGTGAGAGGGTCCTTATCTGCTGCAGATGTGTGAGTGAGTGGATGTGCGGGTTGCAGATGTGTATCATTGTGTGTTGACAGTTCAACGGCCACGCCCCACCGCCCTTCATTTTCACGCCTGTTGTGTGTTGTCAGAGCGTAAACTGTTTATTATTTAACAATATCCCTTTTTTATGTCTCTTGCTGTAAGGATATGTGCGGGTGTGTGAGTTTTGAGCATTCTTATTTATTTATAACTGTGTTTCACACATCTGAACAGTTACGCACACAAATCCGAGCATAAAGCTCTAGATTAAGATTTAAATAGTCGGGCGTTTAGCGAGTTTCAGGACTTCGGGGAAAATACGGTTATATAATTTATACAAACGTAATGTATGGCTTTTTAAGCACCGTTTAATTAAAACTGTAGGCTAAATTATCTCTGAAAATGGGTCTGCTTCGAAAGTTTTTGTTATTTGACATTTGATTAAATTAACCATATGGATAATTTATATTGATGAACAATATCTTTTCAAAGTTTAAGACGAAGTATAATCCGCATTCCAGTTCTGAATCATTGAATTTCATTTAATGATACCTTTATATCTTGTATATTCTTATATCGTTCCCTGAGTGTCTGAACAAAAGTGGTTGGGCGTGAGTGGGCGTGTGCTTGCCACTTGACTGCGGAATGGACGCAACAAGGCGCCAATTCTCGTATCAGCGGAAACAGGCTTTTAGGCTGCGTGCCTGAAAGTAGGCTACACATTCCTATCTCGTTTCTCGGCGCGTGTGTGTGTGTGTGGGCGCTTGCACTAGTGTGCGGCGGATAGATTCCTGATGGTCTGTCAATTATGCACTTCCATATCTGCCTTGAAGGACTCACATCACTGGTCAATGGCAATCAGGCAGCGCAATCACGGCCAGCATGGCATATCAAAGCATCGCGGGCTGGCATTGACATTGATTTGATTTTAAATCACATCAACTTTAAATGTCAGGATGCCACAGAGGATGGGGATGCCATTTGCCATTTGTATTATACTATTTTACTGGCACAACGTTTATGTGCACTAGAAATACACGCAGAAAAGCTCATTAGAGGATTTCCTCCTCTCTCCATCTGGGGGAAACAACTCGAGGACGTTGGTATACACATTAGTCACGTCTTGCTCTGAGTAATAGTATTTTCTATAGGGCTTCTATGATTCCGGAACAACCATGAAGTCATCTGGCTGAATGGTAATGCCAGTTGTCTTTCACAATAGCGAGTCTCAGACTAAAACTCTATCATAAATTATAATTAACAATTCTCTTAAAAAGCCCCATTAAGTTGGAAGATATATGGGATACTCAAGTATACTGCTTACACTACTTTCCACAGTTTCCATAGTTTTCTTTACTGTTTTTCAAGCTTAGAATAATACTCCGTGCGATAAGCTCACTTTCAATGAATAATCGCGTCGTTTGGTAACAGTGTCAAATAGTCGAGTTTTCGGGCATGATATTTTCACTTCCTGGCCATGATTTACGGACTGAAGCGAAAGCAGATGGAGTTGGGAAGTTTGAAAATGGGGAAAGCAGCTGCGTGCCGTATAAATATATGCGTGTGTATGTCGCAGGGCTCCTATTGATTTTCCAGCTCCACCCAAACCAGTTTTCACTCGAATGCGGAGGAATCGAGGCCCTGACATGCCAAAGTTGGTTTAGATAGCGTTGTTAAAGTTGTTCGCCATTGCCATATCAAGTGGGTGGGTGGTTAGCCCAAACTATTTGCTATCCAACTTTGGCTTCCGCGGGGGTTGCCCCAACCCCAACCACCCTTTTGGAAAAACTTTAACTGAAACAAGAATGCCAGTTGTGTTTGCCAAAGAGTTACGAGTGGACTCGACAATTTGCCATGTGTCCGCAGCAGGTTCGTCAGTTCCGCGATGATGATGATACCTGATGGATGGTTTACAAGTTGACCAGGTGTTTCCCCGGGTAGAGAAAAGTAGCAACCAGTCAGTGCATCAATCAATCTTTCAATGTTTAAAAATGCTGACGCAGATAGCTTGATTAAGTCGTGGCAATCAGCAAAGCAAACATTTTGCCAAGTGATTTTAGCTCTTCGTTTATGTTGTTTACCCCAATGATTCAATGCTGATTTGCGGGATGGACCGTTGATTGTCATAGCCGATAAGCACTGTACAGTCTTGCCATTGTCATATAATTTGTGTGCTTGCTTGGGCATGAAGAAGGTAACGATGGTGGAGGCTGCCTCCAAATCTCTGGAAAAGTCGCATTATCCCATCGCCATAATCATCATCGACGCCGTTATCATCGTAATAATCATGTGGCAAACTTCCCGATCGAAGCAACAGTTTCGGCCCACATACAAATTGTTATGCTCCGCCTTGGAAATCCATTAGGGAGTCGAGCCGACAAACAGAGCCAAAATGGCGCCCCCTAGGTTACTACGTATATGCCATACTGTGCAAAATCAATTTGGTAAACAAGCTCTACACTTCTTCGTAAATTCAAGAGAAATAGTTTATACTTGCAGAAACGCCGTAGAAGTTAAACACATCTGGTTCATGGGTCATCTATTTTAAATAGGCTTAAAATATTTCACTTTGACTTTTGACTTTTGAATTACTTTTGAATACATTTATATTGAAAATTTTTTCTTTACCCAAAATTCACAAATATATTTTTCTAGTGTGTCTATGTAGTTTGGGCCCAATTCTATTAGAGTAAGAGTGCAGGGAGGGAATGGGTAAGACGGCAGGATACGGACCTCGATAAATGGGCAAAATTGAAATGGAAATTAAGTTCGAACGAGGGCAGATAAAGATTCCTCTGGCATGTGTGTTATCCGACATGTATCGCTGTATAGAAAAGCCCCCATCACTTTTAAATTATGTACCTTAACGCACCTGATTATGCCCTTTGCTGGTTGGACCCTCGATGAATATTTCAAGCAAGCGTCACATCGACCTAATTGAAACCAGAATGCGAGCTCCAGTTAATGTGACAAGGATTAAGTGATACCCAATGCGAAGAGTTAATTGAAAGCGTTTCAATTTCATTTCTTGGCAATTTATTTCGACAACCGAATCCACACACACATGTAGATATTTTTGTGTCTGTTGAGCGGAAAATTATCATTTCCTTGGCCTTTGTTCGCTCAGTCAATGGAACTCGACCATTTGAATGGGATGGGAAAAACGAAATAAAAGGTTTCTC